GAGAGTTCCCTCCAATTATGAGCGGGTATTTCGCGTCTCATTCAAAGGCACGCCGGTTATAAGAGCGAGAACAAGTACCTCATTGACTCCGGGAAATGAGTGACGAAGGGAGATATCACGGAAGTAGTGGGAAGAATGCTTTTTAATAAAGGACCGTCAAAGAGCCGAAGCATCTCTTCCGTGAAATGACAAAACTTGAGCTAACGAAAGAGCAGCGATATTCGCTTCGACGTTACTTTGAGGCGAAATGCGTCATGCCCTTTTCGCTCGTCGGACTTGCTACCTTCTCTTCGGAAATTAGGCCAAAAGACCTTCCGCTTCTTCTTCGACTTTTCATCACGACCGAAGATGAAACTAAAAAAAAAATAGACCAAGGGCTGGAAGAAAAAGTGTATCGGACCTCTTTAACGTGGGGCTAAAACGTTGTTAGTCCCTTACCGAGAAATAGAAGGAAAATTTAGATTTAAGGCGAAGTGAAACCCCCTTCAAATCAGTCGATTCGGATACAACACTTTGCACTTTTTTTTAAGGGTATTGGACCAAACTGTCTGAAACTTTGACACATGACTCGTGATCATCTAAGAATTGTCCTGACACATTCAAAATTTGGATTTCTAGAAAAAAATCTTTAACTTAGCCCAGACCAAACGCAAAATCACGTCGAGCTCTCATATTTCGATCAATATACAATTATCGAAGGCTCCGATATGAGAAACGAAAGGGACAGGACAATTTTACGACAATTTAGAACACTCTGGTAATCGACAAACTCGCACTCTGAACGAGATGAAGGCAAAAAAAGTGTTTTATGCGCTTCTATGCCAAAACGATGGAAATACGAGATCTCGGAGTGAAAATTTAATTGACCTGGAAATCACAGATGGCGCAGGGGGTCCCTTCGCAGTCAATTAGGGCCCCAGAAAGTATGAATCCAGAGGATTTCTGGAGTTTTACTTCGATTTCTTTATAATTATTGTACGAAAACGACAGGTGGTGTATGCCATTTAGGGCAATACCCAATATAATTCGACCCAGCTGTCCATATAAAAACGTGTGTAAGTGTTAGTTGGGACGAGAAGAGGTGCGCACTAATCCGATTGAATTTCATTACTACTCCGGGCGTACCTAACCTCAAACCCCCGCGGAAATCGCGACATCATTACCAGAATCGACATAGAAGGGCGCCCTGGAATAATTATCAGAAAGCTTCCGTCCTTTAATCAACACGGTTATTAATTAAAACTTCATCTTCGGGCCGGATTCGTCCTCTAGGATTACCGTTCGATGCGAGATATTCCTCCAAGAGACGGAATTTGTTTCCTCCCACTCGATGGATTCATGTTTAAATTCGCATGTATGTTTAAATTCTCAAAAAGGTATATTAACACATTTGCGACCGCTGACGTGAATTCACGTCTTTTCAAGCTCTATTCCTGGTTGCCGCTGACGTGAATTAAATTATTCTCCGGTAAACTACTTGATTTACACACATTTGATGATACAACAAAAACCTCGAAAATCGTGAAATTACCCAACCCTAAGCCTTACCACCGTAGATTGTTGGCAGACCTATTCCTCGTAGGAGTCTATTACGTAAAGCAAATTGAGCGAAAATGTGAAGAATTAGTACCTCCCGGTATTACGGAACGTATTTGGTGGTGGAAATGCGAGATCATTCATATGAACTGGCTCGGCACAAATTTTTAAGCCAAATGGTGATGCATACAGGAAAAGATAGAAAAATAAGCCCCGTGAACGCCATCTTCCACGGATTATGAAACCGAAATTAAAAATGGTAAAACCTCCTGGGTGTTTTGATTTTTGGCAACAATCGCATTCGGGGACGTAATAATAACCTTATTAGAAGAACAAACGAATTACGCGATGCCTCAGACTCATTTTCGTTAGAAGAAAGAGAATTTACTAGGATGTACAGGTTAGTTTTCGTCATTGCGAGGTTATATTACATCATCTCTGTATTACATTATTAAACATTGAAAACTGTTAAATAAATCATGCTTACAGGGCATGATAAGAAAATTATATCGTTGAACTTCTAATTACAGTACATGTAAATATGAATGTAATACATACTTAAAATATATGGATAGACTCGAGTCCTCTTGTTTACTTTCAACGGCTTTCCATCTTCCCGCCTTTCCTGCCTATAAGCCACTACCTCTCAACAATTTTCGATTTACAAGAGACGTACCTTTATTTTCAGTAGCACTAGACCGAAAGTGCTAGTGATCTCGCTCTTTCATACAGCGAATACGTAATTCGGCGAGTAAACCCACACGAGATGAAACTGCGAGAAGTGAGCGCTCTCGTCAAAACTACGTAATAAACGGCCTGTATTTCCTAATCCACGCGAGTCGACTAGCATCGATCGTGTAAAATAATAAAATCGCGGAAGATACTTCCAGCCACGCTCCAATTGTCATGTTTAAAATTCTGTAAAAAAATTCTCGCGCGAATTCCTGTCCGGCCACTCTTGCTGACGGATAACCAAATTGCGCGATTAAAACGGACGAGTGCTCGTGGGAGTAAAAACTTTTCCAACTCGAGCATGTTTGCCCCCTATCGGCGAGAATCAACCCCCCCTGTCGAGGGTAGGTGACAATAATAGAGTTCGAAAATTCTCGGTAACATTAAATTGCAGAAGGCAACTGTGAAACATACCGTAAGTTACCGGGAACATAGAGAATTTAAGAGAACGTTAATTTTGTTATTTATACTTTAGGTTTCTTCGTTTAAATAACGTTTTTTTTTTCAATCAACTTCAAAGTTCAAGCTAAAGAGTAATAATAACTATTAGAAAATATTGATTATAGGGTCGTATTTACCTCCAGCTAAAAATATTCACGTATGTACAACTTCACGGAAAATTCCACGCGATTTGTTTCAAACGAACTGATATTTCATTCTGCGACGAAGCGAATGGGAGGTTTTGATTGGCTACGGAGAACGTACAACGGAAATTCCCCTCTACGATGTTTCTCTATAGCTAATCGGAACCTCTCGTTCGCTCCGTTGAAAAATTCAAATTCTCATCATTTCTCGATAAAAAGAGGCTTTGGAGAAATTACCGATAAGTTACCGGGAATTTCTCTTCGTTTCTGACGTAACTTACTGGATTTAGAGCTCTAGACAATTAGCGGGACGACATGGCGTCGGCGAATTAATTTGAAATACAGGGGACCGAGTCTTCTCATACGGTATATCGCGTTCGGACGAGCTGCGCCCTTCTGGTTGGAAAACAATGACGAGAGGGCTCCCGTGTCGATATCAGAGCCTCACCAATCACCCGACAGCTTCCCCCGGGATATCTAGTGGACGCTACCCGATGACATCTAGTGGAAGTGCTGTTTAATATATAGATGATAATAGAGTACGCGTCCGGACGATAGAGTGCCACGAGCTCGGTTGACGTAGACGGACCCGGGCATCAAGTTTAATTAATAGCTGTATCGAGAGACTGGCACGTTACGCATGTCATATCGAATCTACCTAGCGATAGATTTCGATTGAAATAAGATTTTAGACCATTTTCGTGCCCTAGATCTCTATAAAGATGATACGAAAGGCGCTGTGAAATTTAATCAACGTCGATAAATTAAAATTCATCTATACCCTCCTTGGTGGTAACGTCATTTTGAATACCAGTTGGCAGTGAATGGGTTAAGGTGAAGTGAAACACCTCGAGGAACTTGACCGACGTCGATAGAGAAGATTCTTCCTAATTCCTACGTTGCCGACGTTGGTTTATATATTGACAGCTGAGTAGAATTATATTGGGTATTGTACTAAATGGGACACTCCACCTGTCGTTTTCGGATATTAATTATAAAGAAATGGAAGTAAAACTCCAGAAATCCTCTGGATTCATGCTTTCTGGGGTCCTAATTGGTTGCGGAGGGACCCCCTACGCCATCTGTGATTTTCAGGTCAATTAAATTTTCACTCCGACACCTCGTATTTCCATCGTTTTGGCATAGAAGCGCGTAAGACACTTTTTATCCAAATTTTCAATGTGTCAAGACAATTGTTACGTGATCACGAGTCATGTGTCAAAGTTTCGGACAGTTTGGTCCAATACCGTTAAAAAAAAGTGTTGTGTTTGAATTTATTGATTTGAAGGAGGTTTCACTTCACCTTAAGGGCAGAGCGAGGAATCTCTTGCTTCGAATTCAAAGTGCTAAGGGGTACGGATATCTTAATCTTAAATTATCATTCTCTTAGACTTACGCCCGGCTAAGCCGACCTCGGTTAACAAATTAATCCTCGGTTAGAATGAGTTGTGTTTACTTTAACATACGGTAGGTAATGATTTAATCGATGTCGGTGGAGCCGACCATTAATTTACACCAATCATTGGTACGTGTGCTAAAGACGTACTTTACATTACATTCTCGGTATAAATGATGATTTGATACCAACTTATCTTTTAGTACACGTACAAAAGGCGTACCAAGGCTTTTTCTTTCATTTTCTTTTATTTAATTTTGATACAAAGTACACCTAGTACGCGTACCAAGTAATCGGTGTAAATTAAGTCTCATAGTGGTGTAACCCTTGAAGAAAATCATAATGTTCTTAAATACATCTGAATTCAGTACTTGTAACTAATGCACACATAATACAATAGACTCCTGTATAACGCGATTCATACGTTACGCGCCATACGAATTCGCGTTATAGGACATCGTGCTGTATGAGAATTTTTCTCGTATAATGCACATAATGTATTTTATTTGGCGCGTTGTACAAATAATTGCATGATATAAAAACAGTAATCGTAATATCTTTGGCGCGTTACAGGAATTCGCATTGTAAGAACTCGCGTTAAACGAGAGTCTATTGTATTTAATTCCAATACTACTACCTTAAAACTATTACCAGAAAGTTATCAATGTAACTTTGTTATTTCGTCAGATCCATGTATTGAATGATTTAGATTTTATGTCCTGTATTGAAAAAGGGAACCGAGTTCACACGTATTCGGTACAAATAATTTTATTGAAAGGTCAGTTGACCCATGATGTTTAAATTAAGTAAACGAAATCACTTCGATGCCTTTTCTTTCTCTTCTTCATACGCATAATGTAAGTCTTTGCAATCTTCGGTAGAAATGTGTACCCATCCAGTGGATTTCATATGATAAACTATAAAATAAATTCATATTTAACGGTATAACAATGAAGGCAACGATATACAAAAGTAACGAATATTTTTGCTCGGTACCTCTTATAATACCACCAGAACTGGCATCTCTGAAAGTGGCATGATAAATGGAACGTCTACCTAGTTCATAAGCTTCTGTATCGGACAAATTCCAGTCGTATCCAGCATCTAGTACACCAAATGCATATATGGATCCAGAACCAACGCTGAATACTTTACCAGGTGTACGCGTTCCCTCTGAATCGACATAATATAGCCCTGGGCCACGTTTATCATAACCGGCAAGCATCATACCTTAAGAAATAAAAACTATCTCAGATACTGCAATATAACTAGTCGAAAAAGCATCCAAATGAAATATATTCACTCACCCATTGATAATCCCATACCCTTGTAATTATATACCATATTGGACAACAATTTACTTGCAGCAGCAATAGAAATTCGTTCCCTATTTCTTAATTCATACATACGACATTGCTTTGCTAATACTCGATCCCAATAAACGCAATCTGCTGCACCCCCAGCCAAAGTTCCCAGAAGGTAGTCATTGATTTCAACAATCTTCTTCATCGATTGAGACCCTGTATATAAGAAAATTCTAATAACGCATTCCTACAAGATAATTTACACGTGTATTAAGAGATCGTCACGATACTTTACCAATGAATTGGCCACCCGTAGCTCTTGAATCAACTGCAAGAATGACGCCACCTTTGTATAAGAAACCAAGGGTCGTTGTCCCATGATCAAATTTTATTTTTATATGCTTTCCAGTATCATCCACTCCATTAGTAAACGATGACAAATTATCGGCACTCTAAAATAAAATTCACATTAACACTCTGATCGCCAGAGGGGCCTCAGATGACCAGCGAGTGTACTACAATAATTTACGTTTCATTTGTCTTGGCACTCGATGCATTAACTTTTAATAAGGTGTGCATTGGGATGAACCGATACCATCAGAGCATCACTACTTTTATTTATTACTTAGATTGGAAAGAAGTACCGATCGGTGCTCGGTACACAACATGATAGTGCATGTTCGAGATTTATTATAAATCAAATATTCAGTCTTTAATACTCACACTTGGAAACGGTGGTAACGCAAGGTCTAGATTGTTAAGAAAATTTTTGGTGTAGGATAAAACGTGCTCTTGAGATTTATCGTATTCGCTTACTGAATTGAAATCCACAATCGAATTAATACCACAAACTTCAGCAAGCGCCATTTTTACTGTTAGTAACGACGCATGGAATGACATGCCACAAGCATGCAGAACCTATGAATTCAGACATAACTAGATGAGAAACAACAGACAGAGATGAGTTGAGAGATCGTGGCACGGATCGTTAATCTCTGGTTAAAGGAATCGCGCTTCTACGCTGCCCCCAATGAGGAATGCAGGCAGCTTACCCACTTAATTTGATAGAACTTCTACAGTTACTTACTCATGGTATATTCACTGACATATATTGGCTACGTCTCCACCGTACTCCTAATCCGGGATTTATCCGGCCCGGATTTAGTAAACTGCAACCTCCATTGTATTAATAAATACACAGATTGGATCCTGAGCGTCTCGATCGACACTTAAATTCGGATTTACTGGACATGGCCCCGATAAATCCCGGATTACAATCATCTCTGGTACGATGGAGATATAGTCAAGAATAAGGTTAAACGTTGCGAGCTTTCCAGTTTATTATAGCCTGGTTCCACAACTCGAGTTAACTGAAGTTTAACTAGTTTAAACTGCATATAAACCACGTAAACTCCGGTTTCCATCTGTTGCAAAATACTTAAACCCCGGTTTAAACCTGCTGTAAGGCACTTAAACCCCAGTTAACTCGTTTCTAGTTTAACCGGGTGTAAATCAGTTAAACTTCGGTTAACTTAAGTTGTGGCACCCTAAGTGATTCTTTGACGAAGTCTAGGTACATAAGCTAACGATTACACGCGTTATTTTACCAGCAAACTAGTTTATCTGCTAAAAGTGTCTTCAAGGTTTTTTGTGTAATCAATCGCATGGTATGAGTAGGAATGGTGGATGTATACAAGACACAAAATATGTGACTGTCATCTTTAAGCGCATGGCACTTATGGTATTCGGAACACCAATAAGTTTCTTTTGCTCCATGAAATAATCCTTCGCTATTATGCCTTGAAGTGGGATTCATAGAACAATTAGTACTTCTTTCTTTATTTGCTTCTTGCGTATCGTCGAGAAGCATGAACGTTTCTACTGCCTGATAGTAGAATGTTCGTAAGGTATCCAATCGATGTGCCCCTGTGATACGGTTTTTAGAATGTTGAGAATTTCTACTTAACACAAACTTTTCCACCTTGTAGTTTGCTAATAAAAACCTGAAAATACATTGGATTTCTCAAATATTATTTTTACCTAGATAAAAAATATATATAAATATTGTATCAAAGATCAATGAGTCTTGTCCATCTAATATTTCATGTATTAACATGAATTCTTGTAATAAAGTCTTATTATGTTGAAAATATATTATGATTCTATTATTCATGGCTCAAATAAAATTATTAAGGTGTGCGCATTACCCAAGAATACCAGAATCTAATGACGTTCCAACAGGGAAATTTCTGGGGTAGTACAGTTCGGAAGTACGCAGTATGTCGATACTACTTCTCCAGCATTGAATAGCCAATCTTTCAATTTCTGGTAGTTCTGGCATTGTTCCACAAAGTGCGAGGACTTCTATGTGATTTACCAAAGTCACTGAGACTAGTCTAAATGCTACCTAAAAGAGAATTAAAACGTTCCTATGGATTAACCCCTTAAATTGTCAGATCGAATAGTGTTATCAGTCCCGGTTCTGTTGACCAGGTAGAATATCAAACGTTACAATGTTTATGTTACAAGAGGTAATTCATCAGTTAGTACTTTTTAAAATATGTCCAGACCGTAATTATCTGTGTACATTTGGAACTTACATTTGGACTTTTATAGGGTAGGAATACTGGCATGTCACGAGCAGTATAATTGCTATCTGAATTCATAGCTGCTATTAATAATTTCCTTTCAATGGTATCTAGGGTCCACCAACACTCAGTTGCTACAGCTAAACAACCATGCACTAAGAGACAACCATACATAGAATCCAAGCTTTCCATGTAAGCATCGAGACAAGTCTGTTAAAAAAATTAGTTTAATAAGTATAATTACTCTTTCAAGGCTTGAACATAGAATAATTCTCGACAACCCACACAACATATTCAATAACGATGTGCACTTGTTTCATCGATATCAGGGACCCGATTCTTGGATTCATATGGATTTTTTTTACATACGGGTATATTTTCGCATGAAAAATGTTACATTGTTGCAAAGGTGCCTCATTTGTCAACGTTTTGAAATTGTATATAAAACTGTCACATTCGCACACAAAAGTTAATCGTATGAACTCGAGAATAGGATCCCTGACCACTGAAATAGATGATCCAACTAATTACCATGCGAAAAACTTACACTAACTATATACTTTTTACATATCAAATATATACTTATTTATTTAAATTATCAATTTTTGTAATAAGATATTCCAGAAGCAATGCAAAAGTGGTCCACTTAATCCAGTATTTACAATTAATCGCACTATTTTAACATTTACCTGAAATAAATGATTCTCAGTATACATGATACTTTCCGTCATGTCAATTAAATCTGTTTTTGAACCTATGCGGTCTCCAATATCGAGGCACTCCAACAGTTTATCAATAATAGGATTGCAGACTCTTAGATCCTTCTTCAACCTTTCTAAATTCCGAGGATTCTTTATTTCATCTATACCAGCTACCAGAACCATTGCGTTAAACACCAATGTTAGAAACTTATCGAGGACATATTTTGTAGTACCACTGGCCATGACTATAAGCGTTATACACCCTTCAAACTCCTTCCATACCACCGTTGTGTCAGGCATATAAGTGACCAAAAGATCTGCATTTTGTGACTTCAAAAACATATGTACTCCATTAAGGGACGCCATTTTAGAGAACGTCATCTGAAATTGAGAGCGCATCTTCGATCTAGTCTTGGCACATTTAGGAAAAAGTGTATATTTCTTACAATCTGCTTCTACAATAGAATCTAAAAAATAAATCTCCAATAGCTGTCACATATTTTACATTATAAGAACTACTGTATAAACTTTTCACTTCTCAATTCACTTAACATTCCAAACCTGACGGATTTAATAAAAATAAAAGATTACTAATAACGATTCAAATCTTTTCATTAGCATATTAATTTCACTATAAAAAATCACAATGCAGTTCTCAAAACGAATAAAACAATGCAGACAAAGGTAGTATGTTGGACAAAATAATAGAGTTCGTAAAAACACCTAACGGGCAAAAGTACTTAGAACATTATTCAATATAATTATACATTTTACTGTTAAGTATACTGCTTTGTCAAAATCTTGATAAATTAAAACCTAACAGACCTATATTGTCATATTATAAGACTCTGTCATTCTGCTTCATTTAAAAATCTGATTAATCCAACTATCAACAAAGAGTGAAGTATACCATTTCTCCTTCTCCTTTTCTTCTAGTAAACACTGGAATCCCTCCTGCGGAGGTGAGGCACATAACATGAGCTGCCATTTCATTGATAAATTATAATAAACGTTTTAGTAATATAATAAATAAAATAACATTTCGATATCACGGCGTTTTGCAGCTACCGCGAGACGCTATCATCGTTATCGCCTAGCAACCCTTTACCAGAGATGAGTTGAGAGATTCACGGGAAGAATCGAGCGACCGCGTCCTGT